GCTGGAACGGGGTCAGGGGCATTGAGTAGCTCACGCGATTTAGTTTTCACAACTTCTATGCACGAGGAGTCTACTACAACTGAGTTATACCTTGAATAGTGAAACTCGTCCAGGTCCTCCTTAAGTCCCCTCCCTAACAATTGTCTCTTCCTTCAGAACTGGTTGAGTTAGGGTCCAACTTTTTTTTTTAGAAGTATGTTTTTTCCCTTTTTTAATAGATCGTCTTGTTACAGTGTTTTTTTCCAACTGTTACCGAGTGTTGCTCAAAAGAGGTCAAAGAGGGTGTTTATTATCTGCAATTTCTTGCAACTACACTATTAGAAACAGGAAGATGTTAGAATATTTAAGGACTATTGAAACACCGTTGCTTAAACGAGGTTAAAGGGTACGTTACCGAAATGAGATGTATCAACTTAAAATTTTATGGCTTTTCGCTGTTGAGTAATGGTTGAACTATCATGAACAAAAAATTAATTCATTTTGGTCAACGTAACCTCCCAGTTAGCTCAATGGAAAGAGCGCTGGACTGTTGTGCGGAAGGTCGAGGGTTCGAGCCTCGGCCAGATCAACAATAAAGGTCTTAAAATAATTGAGAAGAATATGCTACCTCCACTATAACATCAAGAAAGGGTTGGATATTCTAGTCTTCTTGGATAGGGACGAATAAACAGAGGTCATGTCTCCTGCAGGGTTAGGGGTGGGAGACGTTAATTTCCCACGCTTTTTTTTACTGTGTGATGGATGTCCTAAATCACCGTGCACAAAATACGGGAAGTTTTTTTACTTCTTTTGACACATGCTCGCCAAAATCGTTCGAAAACAACACTTATTTTTTTTCCCTCGAATAAAAACTTGGCAGCACGAAAGCCAAATAGCTGCCCGTTTTTTTTACCGAAAAAAATCCCACAAAAGATGGTTTGTCGAGCAACCAATCCAGTTTTTTTTTCAAATTAACGGCCGTTCTGAATTCTTCTAATGCGTGGAAGGAACATCTTGTGCAGCTGAGAAACCGTTAATGCGCGGTCAACCTGGACCCTGGTCAAATATCCTCTTACCCGGGGTACCTAAGTATGTGTAAAGGGTTGGTGTTAGAAGACTATGGGGAGGACCCGTTGAGAGAGATTTGACTAGGGTCCAGGTTGACCGCTCATTAACGGTCTCTCAGCTACACAAGATGTTCGGCTGATCCCCGGTGTAATAGCCACAGTTTTTTTCATGAGTCGCGCACTATCAAACTTCAAATAAATATAACTTTGAGTCATTTTTTTTGTGTAGATCTCGATAGTTCTCTGGTTCTTGTAGTTCTCGTGGTTCTTTTTTTTCTTGTGATTCTCGTGGTTCTCTTGGTTCTCTTGGTTCTCATGGTTCTTTTTTTTTTCGTGGTTCTCTTGGTTCTCGTGGTCCTTTTGGTTCTCTTGGTTCTTTTTTTTGGAGCTATCAAAGCAGCTACCATTGAGACCAGCCGTCTACAGTTTTAAATTGAAAGATCATCAGTTACTCGACACCTTTTCGCGATTATTATAAATACCTTCAATATGTACCTTTGAATATAAACCTTGTTTAGAAGAATCCATCGGTACAAGGTTTACATTCAAAGGAATATATTCAAGGTATATAGAATAAACGCGAAAAGGCGTCGAGTAACTGACGATCTCTCAATTTGACTGTAGACAGCTGGTCTTAATGGTAGCTGTTTTTTTAGCTCTCTATGTGTGGTTAATAGTTATTTAAGGTAGAGTATTAATTTTTTTTTTTTCGGAGCTTTTTACAATTTAACTATTAAGTTAATTGGAAATATTGCTTTTTTTTAATCAGCTGCTTTGATAGCTCTCTATGTGTGGTTAATAGTTATTTATTTTTTTGTATTAATTTGTAATAGTTCGGAGCTTTTTATAATTGAACTATTAAATTTTTTTGAAACATTGCATTTGATTAATCTTCTGCAATGGTTCCGGTTGGAAAATTTTTTTGGCCTAATGGTCATGGCGCTATGGCGCCCTAGACATCTTACAGGTGTGTAAATTGGTGGAGGCGAATTTAAAACGGGGAGTAAGTATGTAATGGACTAGCATCCCATCCAGGGGGAAGGGAGAGTACAAATATTTCGTTGCTTAGGCTGTATGGGCTACTGGCCTGACACAGACTTTTTTAAATTCTAATACGTGCATTTCCATGAACAGTGCCGGTGTTTTTTTTTTGTGGATCCTCTGAGAAAAATTTCGTATTAAATAATTTTTTTTAGTTGTGAATTCAACATTAATTTTTAATCATCAATATTCTTATTTATTTTTTTTTTTACTTTTATCTTTTAAAAATTTATTATTTTTCGGTCATTCCGGGATTTTTTTGTATTCCGAGTATTCCGGTTTCGGTTCTGAATTCCGGCATTCTATAATTTTTTTACTACCTCTCTGAAGTTTGGTGGCTCTTGCGAAAATTTTGGTGGGTCTTTTTTTTTGTCCGCACTGAAAATGGTCTCGCGTTGACAGGTTTTTTTGCAAAATTTTTTTAATTTCGCGTAGTATTTTTATTTTTGTAACAAAGTGCTTTCATTCGATTTTTTTATTTTACGACTTCTTCAGTGGTTCAAATTCCTTGTCACACAATTTGATTTTTTTTCGATTCTCTCTTCCCACCTTCTTTGCTTTTTCTGTGTTATCGTTGATTTTTTTAATTCTTTCGTTGTTTGTCTTCGCCATGGTCGTTTTTCAAGATCTTCGACCATTTGCTCCCTTTGTTAACTGAAATATCGATCTTCAACGTTTGCCAGAAGGAAAACATCTTCGGCTTTGTGGAAGTTTATTCCTTACTCGCACGGTGATCGTAGGAAATGAACATCAGAACATAAAACGTTTCGAATGAAGCAAAGCAGAATTGTTCTTCTTAAGTAAGTTAAACGCTGAGGATCTTTTTTCCGAAGCTAAGAGGAAAAAGCTCGTGACTGATCGGATTATCGGCATGACAATATAGTTACACTGGGGATCTTAATTAATCTGTACACTGGTACGCTCCAGTGAATGAATGACCAGTGAATGACCAGTGAGTGTGTGTTTCGGACAAACTGAAGTTGTTCATCCATGATATCAATCAAATTATCGGTATTTTAGTGAATACTTCAGCCCACTTCGATCCTCGTTCAAGGGAAATCACTTGATGCTGAACAAACATACTTCTATCTCATCGCATTGGCGTTGACCGGAATCGAATGCCGATCGGAGATAAGCTATAAAATGCCTTGACTGGAGCCGATAATTTTTACTTTTTTTTTCTGGCGCTTAGCTTTTTTGGACAAAAGCCACTTACTTTTAGAAACTTTTTTTTCTGACTAAGAGGGTCACTTCCTTTCAAAAGCGCAGAATGCTAAAACGAGGTTAAAGAGCACGATTATGGCTTTTAGCGTGTTGAAAATATGCCATTAGAAACAGGATAAGTGAAAAACATGTAGACTGGTGACGCGACAATGCCGAAGGGAGGTTAAACGGGAGGCAGAATGGACCGTAATGAAAACTTTTGCTTGAAAAGAAATTTGATCAGTACTCCATGATGGTGAAACTAAGTCGAAAGCAGAAAGTAAAAGTCCATTTGGGAACTATGAAAACTAGTCACTGGCCTGACAAACAGCAATTAAAAATTAAGAATTGACGATAAAATGTAAATTCACCAGAACTACATGTCTAACATAATGAAAGGCCACGTAACCCCGCCTTAAGCCTCACGATACCCTTCAGCAGCACGAATTGTTATTGAAGTCTCTAATGCCGGGAGAAACAAAGATTTGAATGCTTAGCAGACTATCAAAAATTAACTGGGGCATCGGTTAGGACTTTTTTCTTCAAAATTTTGAAGCGGTGATCTATTCATCCTGTTTCAGCTTCCCAGTATCGCATCTTCACAACTGGATTGGCTATAATGGGTTGCATTTTCAATAAAGTTACTTAAATATATTTTTCGGGATTTTTGTGGTAAGAAAATTCTGGTGAGTAGGAATGAAAAGACTCGTGGTTAAACATTTATCACCGTTTCACTAAAACGGATTAGTATGGGGTCCATAATTCCAGCCCTAGCACATTTTTTTTTAGCTACTCTTGAATTCAAATGACCGTGAACAAAACAAAACAAACAGGTCGAAAGAATAGCCTCCAAAAGCTGAAACGAGGCCAAAAACAGAAAGTAAGTATTATTGTGTTGTGAAAAACGAAAAGATATGTCACATTTAGGAGTTAAGGCGAAAAGGTAAAACGAGGTTGGCAAGGAATCATGTTCGTTATTTAATTAGAGCTCTGCGGTGGCACGTAAGTAAAGTTCACCATTTCTCTTTTGTTTCGTGAATACTATGACCTTTTTTTGCAGTAATTTGTTCAGTCCATGTGACCAGGGAAACATTTAATTACCTTTTTTTTTAATTGTAAAAGAAATTTACGTAGGCCTCAATGACGAGAAAAGGGTCTTTTTTTATTCTTCGGGCTATGAATGTGCCATGAAATAACGGCACTCTAATTTCCTTTTTTTGGGGAGAAATACGTTTCATAAAATTTGCACTCCATTCAAGATTATTTTAGGACAAAATGCTGTTGCTTATGTTGTATTTTGATTATTCTCTTAATCAAAAGTGTGTTTTATTCCTAACACGCTTATTTGTCTTTCATACGTGTCTTTTCCTTTGAAGATGAACCGAGGGTAGAATTCCCCGCCAATTAGGTGAATGTCAGCTATACGATGTATAGCTTTTGTTTGGTAAAGTGTTTTAATCAACTCGTCGAAAACATCTTGCTTCATAACCAGATACTACCGTAAATCTTTATTTTCGTATGAGCTTGTAATATCTTTCAAATAAATCTTCATTGAAAGAGTAAATACAAAAGTAAAATGATTCGGAGCTTTTTTTTTAAATTTACCAGGTAACATCGATCAATTACTTCTTAGGAAAAATTAATTTTTTTCTATTTGAAAAGCGCTATATAGCTAAGGAAGACACACCATACTTTTTTTTTTTTCGGGGGTGAATACGAATTTGTCCCCTGCTAACAATGTCACCTTATTAGTTACCGATTGCTCCACTAACTGGTCAATTCGCGGTAAACTTCAATCTCATCGGCACAGAAATTATTTCTTCCTGTCCACACATAATTGTTGCAGTTTGGAACGAGGTACGAGCGGCAAGTGAAACCAGAATTATAGTTTCTATTTGCATAGTTTGCAACATAAATATCATGTCCCGAACCGAAGGTCGGACCATAATAGTAATTGCTATATGTAGCGTAATAACTATTGGTAATGTCCCTTTTAAAATATCCAGATCCGTGATAGTTTTTTTTTTTAAATATGAAGGCTTTTGATGAAGAAATGTAACGTCCGTAATAACCAGAATAGTACCTGTAGTACCCTGAAAAAAAAGAACATAAGGTAGATAAGAAGGACAAATATACGAACATATTTTCGCGCCAAACGGAGGCAACTGTGTTTATCATTCTAGATCTCTTCTAATATTTTTCAACGCGCGGGAAAAATGTCTACGATCAGCTTATCGTTTACCGCGTGGGATGTTTAGAACAGTAAATGCATATTCCTTCTTCTACTGCGAGGATCGTGCATCATACGTATTCCTTCTTCTGTCGCAAACACACAACGTTTATTTTTTTTTTAGATTTTTCCTTATTAGACGTAAGGTTTAAAAATTGGAGAAAATCCATTTTTTTCGTATATCCTCGAATATCCCCCTGTTTTTGTGGGTGAATATACGGTCTTTTTTTGCGTTTTGACCAATAGCGTGCGAGCAAAAAGATTTGTTGCATTGTGATTGAAAATATTTAAACTGATATTTTAAGCTTGCACACACAGAAAAGAAGGAGACTTAAACGTGACTTAGCTGTACATAAGCTCTGCCATGCTTTGGGAAGTCGCATCCTTTTTTTTATAATAATCATAATAGTTTAATAATAGTTTAATATTTGTAGTGCGCTTTTTTTATTTATATATGATCAAATGCGCATATAAAGCGTGGGCCCCATGAGCTTTTCGACGGAACAATTGACTCTTAACGAGAGTAATATGCATGAAAAATCAAAATTACTCAATTCTGTTGGCTGAACATTGCAGTTCTTATGTAATACTCTAGTGCATATATATCTGTAACACTCTGGCAAATAAATATTTAACACAAGGTGGACTCTTTACAAGTTCAACGACTTGAATGATATTCTTGTAAAGGTTTGAATTTGACAAAAGTGGACACCTGTTTCAGCTACTAATAAACTGAATGAACAAAATTTAACTTGCTTTGATTTTTTTTTCTTCTTCATTTTATTCCCTTTCTTATAGGGATTATTAATCAATAGGTATATGAATCAGCACTTGTAAATTTTTCAGGCTACAATTGTATTCGCCTTACGGCCTCGTGCAATTTTTTTTGTCCTCAAAATTTACATCCGTCTATTTAGACAAGAATTGCACTCAAAGTCATGTGGATTACTTATACTAATACTACATTGCATTATTCGTGACTGACAGCGTAAACCGAGTTTAACTATGATTTTAAACGCACGTTTATACCACATTTTTTTCATTTTCAACTTTTTGTCATTTTCAATTTTGTTTTCACTTTTTTTTTTTTTTTTTACGGTGGCTATCAATGAACTTACGTCTCCAGGACTGATCAGTGTAATTTTTTTATATGTAACCATGAGCACGAATGATCGTCACTGTGGGTCCACGGTTATCACAGTAGCTGTGAAATGTTGACCCACTCCATCCATGTCTTGAGGCTCTATAGCACAGACTCCAGTAACTGTTAGACTGACTTTGCAAGCGCGAATGTAGCCAAGAATGTAATTGTGACATTTTTTTGGTGTCTCCGCCTATAATTCTTGAGTCAGCGAGTTTTTTTTATAGATAAAAAGGCAAACAAACGTGAGGTAGAACTCTTCCCGTAGACGTCACGACCAAAGAAGAAATCGAGGCTTGCTTTGTATGTATGCTTCATCTCCCGTTTTTTTTGAGAAAAAGGGAAAAACTCAGTGGACGAGCCGGTAAAAAATCAAGTTTTTTTTAATAAATCATCAAGTTACCTTAGCCAATGTTGGCTCGCCCACATTTTTTTTTTTCCTCAGTTGAGCGAGAACCTGGTACGCACTAGGTTACGATCACCATTTTTTTTTTTTTCACGAAAAGATACTGATTAAACTATCTGATGTTTAAGGACTTATTTTTTTGATGACACGTTATTCCGTTTCCATAATAATGAGCCGCATGGTCACACTGGCACGTAAATGATCCTGGAGTGTTGGTGCATTTTGCGTTGGAATCACAGTTATGACTGTTGAGTGTACATTCATCGACATCTACATCAGCAGAAAACATTTGCTATTTTTTTTTCGTACGGGTCAATCTGTAGTCTTAACAGCCGTTTTTGGGAAGTCACTTTTTTTGCCTCACAGATCGTATGGTCTACTCACATACCACCCATACCATACTACATGCTTGAGTTAAGGGATTTTCGCCAAGATATCAAAAACATAAACAAAGCCGCAACAAAGGAGGCTTTGAACTACATAAGAAATCATGGAACTCATAAAATGCTCTTCACCTTCTCCAACCTGACATCAGTATGCATATTCGACATACTGTTCTTAACAAATTTCATAAGATGCTGACACGACGAATTTGTTCAAATTTAAGAGCTTGGTGATAATTCCCTTCATTTTCATCTATCAAGGTGTGGTTTCAAGGGGGGGGATATTGTAAGGAGAGGCTATGTTCTAGTCTGTCTTCTGGGTAGAGGGATTAGGAGTAACGTTGATTTTTTTTAAAGAACATGGAAAATAATGAAAATCAAAACCAACTTCTCGAGGTTTCCTCTACTGATTTGGCGGTGAAGATGTCAATTGTTTCGGTGGGAAAGTGACAATTTTTTTATTTATCTACTTGAAGAGTAGATGGATTTTGTTTTTTTTTTTTAGATTTTTTTTAAGAGAAACTGCCAGATAAGATTTTTAACATCAGTGCACAATGTACCTCTGCAGTTGATTCCATCTCCAGTGTAACCATTAACACAAGTACATGTATACGATCCAACTGTGTTCTGACACGTGGCGTTTCTATGACACCCATGACCTGAAGAACATTCATCTATATCTGTAACAAGAATGAAAACACAATTAACATATGGTCTAAGAATGCGCAGAGCTTGTTGAATCAGATCTTTCTATTGTAAACATGATATGACAAATGATCACGACGGTCAAGAGTCTTACAATCAGAATCGTTAACTAATATAAATCAATCATTCACTATACAGCAATGACTTCTTAAAATTTTTTCTTCTCTTTTTCAATAGATAAGTTTGAAATAATGAAATATGCTCGGTGGCAATGGATGTAAAACACAACACCATCAGTATAGCCTAGACGCTGTGCTAAACTGTGTTTCTGAATGTGAACTCATAGAGGTGAATTTCGTATTCATTACCTGCACAATTTCGACCATCACCGCTATACCCACTGACACAGTGGCAGATGTATGATCCTTGTGTATTTGTACAAATCCCATTCTCGCTACAGTCATGATTATTTCCTTTGCATTCATCAAGGTCTTACAATAAAATGAAAAACAATCAAATAAGGAAACAACCACAGCAAAGACAGAGACAACGATAAACAAGAAATGAATTAGCAAACAATCCAACAATCATAATCCGCTTAAATTGACAAGTCATAGCCGGACTGAGAAAGAGTAGGAGGAACGAGGGGGAAATGGGAAGGGGCAAGGTTATTGACTCTAAACTCCAGTCATTCCAGATGCACTAAGTACGTGTAATTCTTTTCAGGTAGCAACCTTTTATGATTATAAGGGTTTGGCTTTTCAAATCAAAAACTAAAAGCTGTAGTTACCATCAGAACATGTGTAATTATGGCAGCTCCTGCATTTTACGTCATTCCATGTAAATTTATGTCTAACTCCCAAGGTGTGCACGCAGTCTTCGTTCAATTTGAAATCGTTAGGTTGATGTGGAGCCCAGTAGGTGAAGTTGCTTGATTGGTTACCAGCCCAAACAAATGTGCCCTCGGTCTCTCTGTCATTGAATCCAATCCATCCCTTGTCTCCATTCAGACGGTGCTGTATATATACATTTTCCTCTTGATTTTTTACGGTGATGAGGCTGGAGTTGTATATCTGGCAGGTTTTCTGGGCCTCAGTCCAGTTTTTGCACGACTGACTTGTGGAGTAGCAAAAGCCGGAAAAGTAAGACCAGCCTGGTTTGCACACGTCTATGCCAAAAGAACATCAGAAATATAATATATTCCTTTCAACAGTCTGCTAATAATTATGTTAAATGGAAAACTTTGAAAAGGCAATCATAAATGATAACTTTGTTCATTCGAAGTTTCACTTACCCGCTAGAACTACGTAAGACACGGTATTTTTTTCATGCTGGTCAGCGAACAACTCCTTGAGACAAATACGGAATTCTGTTTTTTTTTTGTGCTGCAAAGAAGAAGTTAATCAATAAGAAGGAAATTCCTAGGCTGGCGCGAGTATTAAAATTTCCAGAACAAAAGCTATGCATAAGACGTCACAGTCACGGTTGAGCTGACTAAATGGATCTCCTGAATGCATTAGATGCATTAGTAAATAACTAATTGGAAATAAGAAAACATTGAAGAGTACCTCTATCCATACAGTAACAGATAAGTACTTTGACTCAAGATTATTTCCTCCTGAATTGTGATTCGCAGTGATTATTATCGTAGGCTCCTTGTCATAGGACTTTGCTAACTGCATGTCCTGTAAGGAAAAGTAGACATAGGTATCAAATCCGGCGTAGCCAGGAATTCAAACAAGAATAATATCAGCAAATGCGATTGTTAACAAAAAGACTGATCAGCCATAAAGGCTGCATTGAAATCGTTTATTCTATTTCGCTGATTTGATGAGTTAGGTGGAAAAATTGTTCATGATTCATAACGATTTAAAATGTAAGGATAAAAAAATAAGAGAAAATTGATTGAATAATCAGACTAACTAAGAAACGATCAAAGTAGAAGCTGAGATATGTACAACACTCCTCAGTTCTCGTCGAAACATTTATAAGGTTTATTTCATTTGTATTCAACGCAGATACTTATGTGCAGCCTACCTTGCAGAACGCACCATTGTGGTTTGCAGAAACAGGGCTGTTGTTAGGAAAGTAGATTTTTCTACTTTCAGCGAAAAGCGGACGGTGAATTTCTTCAAAAGCCATCCAGTTCTCGAAAGATAAATTTAAAAAAATCGATATAAATAAAGTTTGTCTACCATAAACCATGAAAAATGGACAATTTCTGTCGGAATGTACAATGCAAACAAACACTTCGTTTTTCTCAATTAACGAAAGGTATCCCAAAATTTTTGGCCAAAAAAATCCGACCAAGATCGTCCTTAATTGAAAAATTGAACAGATGTTCCTTTTTGGAATGTCGTATGTCTTTCTTGATTTTGGATAAGGATATTCTGTTGTAGCAATAGTTATATTGATTACTTTTCTTGTGTGAATGTGTAACTACCATATCAAGTATTTTTTTTCCGCCGAGAAATGAGGAAAAACAAATAAAAAACAACGAACAAAAAATTTTTTTTCAAACAAACAAAACAAAGCAGAACAAACCAGACAAAAACTAACAAATTTTTTTCTAAATGCGAAAAAAAAAAGCACATATGTAGTTAAGCTAGAAGACTTTTTTTTTCTGGAGACAAACACTACTCGAGCTGTCCACTCACAATGAGTTGGTACATACCACGAGGATGTCCTCATGAAGACCATCGTAATTTTGTAACTCTCGGAGGCAAATGTAAAAGGTAGAACTGGTGGGATTTTCTATCCACAGACTGGCGGCGTCATGCTTGTAAGCTGACGTTACGTGATCTGCTGTCGCCAGAATAGTTGGTGTAGTAGAAAATTTATCCTTTAATTGTAGAGAATTCGTAGTTGTTAGTCAGTTGGCGATGAGGGAGAAGGAAACCATTTAAAACTACATCCCATGTTGCTAAAATTTTGTTTGAGGAGGTGCAACTGCCTTCATAATCTTTGTTGAAAAGAGAAAAACTCATCAGCAAACCTTCCATCCAAAATTGTAGAGAAGAACACAGAGGGCAGCCTCGTGATCTATTCATAATTTCAGTGAACATAGGGGAACACTCACCCTTGGCAGACTAATTCTTATGCATTTCGTTCCTGTCCACCATTCTGGAATACGTGTATTTCCTGTCACACCTCCATTTGGAGCACCTTGGTAAGCCATCCAGTCGACAGTCGCAAATTCTTTTGTGCCACGGTCATTTCTTCCCGCAGCTGTCGCACAAACCTTCAAGACAAAAATAAATCCTAGTGAGCATAGGGTCCTTTAAAAAAGCGTCTTTTGTCACGATGAAATTAACTTTGCTTTCAAACCGAGGGTAATCTAACTTCAAGTCAAGTAAATGCTAGGTAACGACTTTTTCCCGTAATGTACAAGAAACTGAAAAAAGGACTCAGAAAGGAATACTTTTAAGACTAAAATATTATGCATTAAGGAAACTTTGTTGGATTTAGAGCATTGTTTGTTGATATACAGCAGTACGAGTATAAAGCTAAAATGACCGTTCCCATTAAACAGTTAGTTGTTTCTTTCCTGGCTACCACACAAATCTCGAATCAAATCTAGGTAACATATTGCATAATTTCTTTAAAGTCATTAAAGAATAACCAACCCTGAAATTCTGGTAATTGACATTTTCCACCCACGAGACGGTGGCTTCGTGTACGAAGTTCCTCCTGGTGGAATTCCAGTGATTGGTAGTGATCTGCACATGCACTGCCTTGTCAGGATAGAACGAGAATGGCGGGAAGGTTACCAACTCGCAAGCTGTTTCAGCCCAGGAAACATCTCTCTTCAGCTCAACTCGTCCTCTCTGAACCGGAAAACCTAAAGCAAGATTGAAACAGTTTCTGCTTTCAGCCTTGTGCTGTGAAGGGTGTTCATTTTCTTTTAATAAATTTTTTTTTGTTACGCTATTAGTATCTGATGGTACCATTTCTAAAACAGGAAACTTTTTTTACTTTCATCTTGTCAGTGCTAACGATATAACCCTGTAATATATCTTCATTTGTCTCGAAAATCACCTGCAGTCATAATTGGTAGCACAAGCGCGTAACCTATCCTTATGACTTGAGCCTGAGTTAAACCGCTAAACTTAGACAAATGTTTTCCATAGATATTTCAGGTGCCAGTTAATCTATATCGTTACAGTGGCGTATCCTCGTGTTTCAGTCTTTTCATGGATTAAGCAGTGGTATTCATGATTTGCTAATGAGCTTCATTGTGTGCCTTTGCGCAACATGAAACGCTCTTGTTTCTCTAGACACGCAAACGTGCAATAATAGCTGACAGAAAATATCTCCACTTCTTACCCGTGCAACTTCCAGGATGATACAGAGTGTGGTTACTTTTTAGTCTGCATACTTCCAGCTCAAACATGCACTTGTTTTTGAACGTAGTCGAGTTAGATGAACACACTTGTTCCTCATATGAAGGGCAGTTTTCTTCGCACACACAACGGGCGTCAAATGTGTCGAATGCCTTGCAGACAGCATAGTAATCGCACGTAACGTTGATGCACGGATCAAGGTCTTTGGAATAGTATTAAATATAACCAGCAAATGAGCAGTGCTTATAGTGTCTCGAGGTAAGGGTGGGGTCTACATGAGAAAGCGTCGCTTCTGACTGGCTAAATTTTTCTCGCTTTCCGTAACATTGAGCGACTAAGTTTATTGTATAAGTTCCCTCAACAAGTTGTGATAACTTTTTCTTAAATTGCGCTATCAATACTGCATCTTAAAGAAATACACTTAATTCTTCTTGAAGTCGAAAAGAAAAAAAAAACTCACAACAAACAACAAGCAAACAAATTCGAAGACCTCTTTCTGTTTTAATTGACTTGACGTCAGCATATCAAGATTCACTTATTTTCTGCAAGGTCTTAAAAGAATCTGTAAATACGGTAAAGAGAGCACCTCTTAACATTTTTTTATTTCAATTATATATACAGATAGATACAAAACAAACTTAGGGAGGAATTTTTTTGAAAATCAAGGGTGTTTTCAGAGCTGTAGCGTTGCTAAGGTATTCTCACATGTCTGAAAATAAAACGAACAAAACTTGCTGAGAAAAAATTCAAAGCCAAGAATTGGTGTTTAAAACTACGGAAACAAACGTTAGCCACTTTTCAACTCCTGTTGGGTAAGTGGCGTATTAGTTAAGGTGGTTTAACGAAAGTAGTTCATGCCAGCTGATGATTTGGAATCAGTAGTAGTTTCAGACATGCCTTACTAGTGGTAGAGAGACATCTAAACTATCTGTCTATTGCCCACCTCCAATGATTGCATAATGTACAGTTACTGTTTTTTTAGTCTTGCTCAGTCCCTGGCTGTCCTTAACACAAACCTTAAACGCGGACCGACTAACTTCCTGCAAAAACAAATCGGAACACATTTGGTCAAGGAACAAAATTTTTTTTTACTTTAAATTTAAAGTAATGTCAGCCCCACCCCAACCACAGGGGGTTTTTTTAATCTGTTTGATTAGCCGACCGTTGTTTTATAGTGAATGTACCAGATTTTTTTTTTGCCTCACCTAGAGTGATATATTGCTGACTATGTACATAAATCATTGATAAATAAACGTTGAATTACTTTACCGGTGGTGCATAGTCGTTCTTTTGCCTCTTTTTTTTTTTGTTTTGAGCGATTTTGAATAAGTCTGATTTCGTCGTTAATGTAATACATTAAAGAAAGACAATGGTGGAAGCCTTGTTTGAAAGGGTTCAAGCGCCCGAGCGATTTTGACCCCGAAAATCGCATCGCTCCGCTTTCAAACTTCGCAGCATTTTTTTTTAAAGATGCACAATTCTCGTCGTACCTTCCAATCGAAAATCCATGTAAACGGACCGGAGCTAGCCCTCGAAGAAAATCAAAATCCCACAGTATTTTAGCGTCTTTTTTTCGTAGCAAGATTCTCATGTGCCAGCCAGGAACCGTTACGTTGATTGCTTTTTTTTGATTGGACGACGTTAAACGATGACCTATTCAAAATATCTAACGAGGTTTTTTTACCATTGGCGTTTAGTGACCCTTCAACTGTTTACCCACCAGACTCGGGTCGTCTGTCTTAACGCTCACCGGAAGCAACTTACATTTTCGCCCATTGTTGGCGTCCGCCAATGTATGAACAGGGAAACAGATTATTTAGTATTCAAATATTCATAATTTTTTTAATAATGGTCTTTATTAAAAGCAATAATGCATCAACTGTGTCATTATTTTTTTTGAATGAAATATAAAACCGATTAAGATAGAAAATACAACTAACTATTATTTTTTTACAATGCTAAAAAGACATCTATTTACAAAAGTGGATTTTAAAACGTGTTTTTTTAAGTCTGGGTAATATATAATCATAGCCCGTGCTGCGTAATTGCCTAGTTTTTTTCGACGGTAAAAGATCATCAAGTGCAGTGATATTTGAAGTGATCTTGATCCATAGTTTGCTATCTCTGGTGGCTAAAATTTCACAAATACTATATTTCTTCAAGCAATATCCAGACTTAAAAGCCCTAGCAAACAGTTTGTCTATTCTCTTAAGATATTTATCATAATAACAGCAACCCCACACCTCGATAGCGTATGTGAAGACTGAAATAATTAGGCTTTGGAAGAGCAGATCTAATTGCTCTTTAAGGTAGCCATAAAATCTATAAACTCTTAAAATATACATACGACTGCTGGCCTTACCAAGCACGTGATCAATATGTGAGTCCCACTTCACAGGGTCATACTCAAATGTAACACCAAGCAGCTTGAGCTTGGTTTTACGCTCCACAATAGCGAGAGGAGCTGGTGGAACTTTCAGGCTACCACTTGTTAGTAACATTTCCCATGTTTTATTCAAATTGAATGTTTTATTCAAATTCCAATCCCGGCTGATCGGTTAAAAGACTTTGAATGCACAGACCGAAATTTTCGCTGGGTAGAAGGGGCGGCGCGGAGAAACTTTACAGACAAATGTATGAAAAATTAGAAAAATTAATTGAGCGTCTTCTATCTAACCTACATTCTTCCGAACTAGGTGAATTTTTTTTTCTGTTCAGTGTTTTAACGTTGCAATTCATAAATTGCGTAAAAATCTTTTTTTGGAAAGTTATTTGCCATGGGATTCCCATACAAACACTGTAATTTCTGTTTTTTTTGTCTACCCGTAAAGATGACGCCGAAAACAGTGACAAGGCCCA